GCAGCTGCTGGGCTCCATTCCTCGGTACCCCAGGCAGGAGCTCCTGCTCCCTGCCTTGGCCAGGTACCTGCACAGCACACAGCCTCCACACCTGCACCTCCTCCTTTGGAGCTGTGCTCAATTCTAATCCGCCTAGAGAACCTCCTCCCGTTTGCCTGCAGGACTGGGACCTGCAGGAGGGAACAAGCAGAGGTGGAGGTTGCTTTGGCTTCTTCACCCTGTAAACTCACTGCTGATGGAAAACTACACTTTTCAGTCGTCTTTGTAAAAGATAAAGTGTAAAGTCGTTTCTTAAGAGGAAGCAAATTAGATTAGGAATTAATTTGTTTGGAATCGGAAACAAATTAATCTCTTTACTTGAAAAAACAAAAAGGTGAATCTTATAAAGCAGGAATATAAGGATAAACTTTCAGGGTTTTTCATTAAGAATTTTTTAAGTCAGGAACTCCTGCTGAGTCACTGTGATATGTTTTTGCAGGTAAAAATGCAGCATGAATGGGGTACAATGCACATGCAGAGTTGCAAGTTTTTCAGTCCAAATGCTTTTTATTCATCACATGGTATTTTCAGAGTTGAGAGGAACTCACATAACTATCTTGCACACAGTTCGTCTCCTCAAATTTGTCCTCTTTTAAATGCAGTGAACTTTATAGTGAATTCTTCATACTTTCAAATAGAGAGGTAGACATAATTTTGTTTTGTCAACTAGGAAAAGGTACAGTTGTGTCCCTGTTCTCAAGCGTTATTACTCAAAGCACAGAAGGGAGCACATGACTGTACACTGACCTTCATCTGTTCCCAAATTATGCCTTTTAAAAGCCTTGAATCTGTTTAAGGGGAGCTGCTGAAACCTGAAACGAATGTGGTCTATTGCTTTATAAAGTAGATGAATGTGGAACTTAAGTATTACATTTCAGGCTCTTACTGTACTATATATAGCAAAATTAGGATGAGGGAGAATATAACTGTAACCTGAGTCTGGTTTTAGAGAATATTTTTTTGTTACAGGTATCGATGGTCACTGTAAAATTTACTATGTTTCTATTTCTAACAGAAAATCATCACACATTTGCAGAAGAAAAAATGTTCTCCTGATTAAGACTTTCATTTTTAAAAGCTGAGTCCTTAAAAAAATTACCAGCTCTTCAGCCCACAAATCACGCCCCCACAAATTGCTAACCAGCTCTGACAGACCCAAGTCTAAAAAGAACCTTGAAATACACCTTGTATCTAAATTTTCATTGCTTGCACTCTGTCTGATTTTCATCAGGATATGTTTAATAATGACCAATACATCATCTTGAGTATTAAAGGGAAAATTACACTTAATTAGAAAAGTAAGCAGTGTATAACTGCAGAAAGCACCTTCTGCTGCGTGCCTGACACAACAGGCCAAAATGATGTAACTCTTAGGACAACACCTCAATAAACTTGTTCAATAATTACCGTGGAGAAGAGGTAGCCAAGGATTTTTACTTCTCTTCATTCATTTTTAGTAAACTTCATTGTTGTTTCTAATGACATAGTAAAACCTTCTGATGAGCTCTGACAATGTTCATCTGCATGTTTCAAAGAAAGATTAACTCCACAGGAAGTTATAAGCTCACTATTTGCTAATAGAAAAATGGCTTAGAAATTGACAGATTTCCTGACAAGTTTACAAATTTTTTACAGTTTTCAGATGGGAATTGTAACACTCATTACACATTTAATATGCTTGTAAAATAACAGAAACCTTCAGGATGTAAATGACTTTTGGAAATCATCTGATCCAATCTCCTGTTAAACGTCACTATAACTCCTAAGTTAGGCCTGATTTCTCAGAGCCTTGTCCAGTCAAGGTTTGGATTTCTTTAAGGATGGATATTCTGGGCAAAGCATTCCAGGACCAAACTACTGTCCATAGGTATATCCTTGTGTCGTGGATCTTCCTTCTGTTAGAATTTAAACCTAAATATGATAAGAAAGGCTGCTTCTTTTGTCTGTGCTGACACACAGTTGACTTTAGACAGCACAGGTTCTCAAGGTCTGCCTTAACACAATATAGTGTGACCAGTAATAAATTACACATAACTATTTTTGTCTTTAAGTGGCAGGGAGGGATTGGGAATAAGCAATTATTTGTTCAACAAAAATTACAGCAGTGACTTCAGGATTGATGTCTAGTTCTGAATGATCTGGATCTTAAGAAAGCTCATGAACCACACACCGTAGACTCATGCCCAAATGTGCAATAAAAATAAAAAAAAAAGAAATAAAAGGAAAAAAAATAGAAAAGTAATACCAATTCTGCTATTTTTCCTTGTGCTAGAGTTACACCACCAGACTACATACGGTTAAATGATCTTGCCCCACTGCAACATATAGTGAGATTTTAAAAGATGACTCACATCTAAGGCAAATGAAGTGACTACTGCAGCCCTTGTGTTTTTGTCTTTGTATAATTTAATCAGCTGTTCATCTCAACAGTTGGAAAGGATACATTTATACAACAATAACTTCATCTCTCTTGGTAAATACTTTCCTGTATCTTCTGATACAAATCTATTAAATATTGGCTTATATTGGCCTAATTTGAAATGAGACAGAACACTGGGGTCCCAAAGGAACCCAGCACACAAGCTCTCAGTTCACTACCATGCAGCAAGGAAGTCAGTCTTAAGCATGTTTACTTGTGCTGCTGAAAGAGGATGACAAATAAAGACATGGGTTAGGCACAATGTCTGCTTTTATATGATTACACAGTTGTTTTTTTAATTCATCATCACTAAATTCATAATATGTATCAATTCAATGTAAATATGTAATATATACATGTGTTTTTTACAGATCTTTACAGAACATGCTCAGTTCAGGCAAACAGCCCTATTACAGACACTTGGAGCATTTAACAGTCTTACAGCACTTCCCTAAGTAGTAAGCTAGAAATACTTATGAAAAAGTATTATGGGAAAGGGATCTAAATTCTGGAAAGCATCTACAATCTTCTTCAAGCAGACATACACACCAGGAAATCATGACCAACAGAACTGTGTCCCAGAAACCTCTCCCCCCCTTCAATATATTCAATAAATTCAAAATATTCAATACTGTCTTTCATTGACAGTAATGAACCTGTAAGAGCTCTCTCAGCATTAAGTTCTTTATAATCTTCAGGAACTAGTTAACATGACTTTTCTATATAATAAGTATCACAGCTATTAAAATACATCAAAATGTAGGGCTTTAAAGTATTACAAGGGATTTTGAATCTGACTAATGTATTGGGTAATAATTGCCTTCCTATTCACAAAAAAAAAAAAAAAAAAAAGTAAACCCATGGATTTCCTATGCAGGAAGTTCACATTACTACCTTTGGTGTCAGAAGCTGCAATGAATTTCCTTGTGAAAGAGTGTTAGACATTCTGCAGTTCAACAGTAGTCACTAATAAGTTGGGGTGGCAGCTGTTGTGCATCTGAAGCTAACAAATGTTATGTGACCAGAGATGACTGGCATGACATGTGGCTGTAGCCTTTTTATAAAGTTATGTTCTCAACTATTTTAAAAATGCCCGCAAAAGTCCTTCAGAAATACTGTTCCCAAGAAGTTCATGGAAAACTGATCCTTTAATACTTAGCCCACTCAGCTAGTTGCATATATTCACACATTATCACAGAGTGATAAACTAAAGTTTAATCAAAAATAGTCATATAAATTCATCTGGAAGTCATGTTCTCAGCACTGTGACTTGAGGCTGGATTCACTTGCTTGAATGGGAATATATTAAATTTCCAGCAATCAATTATCATTTCAGCCTTTGTATCTGCCATCATAAATTCAGGCACATGCCCATATGGACAGACAAAGTGCAAAGACAGAACTGTCTTCCAGGCAAATTCCAAAAGCAAGTGTGAAGTTCAGTATTGAAATATCACTCCCTTTTCTGTCCTCATTCTCAAGCAGTACAGGCATTTTTAATCCAACTAATACTTTCCAAATTCTCCTGAAAATTTTACCTTCATAATCTTCATACAGATAAAAAGTGTTGCCAGAATTTTATATCCCTCCCAGGCACCCACATGCATGTAAAGACTCATGACACAAAAAGACTCATGTAAGGACTTAGAGAGCTCCAACAGAGAAGAATTTCCTAAAATGCAACTGATTTTAGTTATTTAATGCACACAAAAAACACATCTCTTGATGTGGTTCTGGTTATGTCACAATTTATTTTAGTGTTTTGCTACATTTTTTACATTTAATACACTTAGAAAAGCTTTTTCTCGGAAAAAGTTGTTACCCCTGATTTTTATTTTTTATCTTCTAGTGCCTGAATTTTCAGCAAACACATGAAATATTAATACTTTTTCAAAGACATATAAATATTTTAGTTTTTAATAACACTGAGACTTGGTCTGTTTTATATACGCCTTATTTGTTATAATCTTGTATGAACTGATCTTTGAAGTCAAGAGTTAATTGCTTTTCTCCTCTGATCAGAGAAATACATTTGGAAAGACAGAAGAAACTCCTTCCTCCAGGTAATAAATTCCCACTCAAAAAAGAGGATTTCATACAATCCAAACATTCAGTTCCATTTTCTATGTAACCATTAAAATGTACAATAATGTGTTAATAATGTGTTAATAATTTAATATGTAAATAATGCGTACAATAATGTGTTAATGTACAATGATGTGTTAAAACTCTAATATTGGAACAGTCAAGCACAGACAAAACTTACTGAAAACGTAATAAATCACAAGGAGATTTTAAAATTTCTGCTAATTCAATCTTAAACAGTGGAGAACCACTTGCAAGTACTACACAAGAAGTGAGAACTGAAGAGGTAATTAGAGGAAAGAAAATATCAACATCACTTGACCAATGAAATACAGTATGAAATACAACATCCAGACAATTGGAAATAATGCAATGCCATCATTACCTGTCATGTGTCGAGAATACAGTATGAAATACAACATACAGACAATTGGAAATAATGCAATGCCATCATTACCTGTCATGTGTCCTCATAAAATCCCAGAACTTCTTTGTGCCATTCTGGAGGGAAAAAAATTAAAAATCAATCAAATTAACTCCAACTGAAAAGTTACTATAATGAAATGTAACAAAACTTGAGAGGCATTTCTTTGAAAACTTAGTATAGTTAGTTTCATTTATGAGGCCAGTATTCTGGATTTTGACAGTTATTATTGCAAACACTGAGAACTGTCTTAGGACAGTTCAAAATCTTAGACCTACAATAATATGATGACAGCTAGCAGACATTTATTGCAGCCTTCAGGCCCAGTTTTGGCCACAGCATCAACTTCAGCTGCCCAATTTAACCATTCATGGTGCCAGGAAGCCATAAACAGCTCTGTTTTAACCAGTAAGATAACCCACAGGTATGTTCTTCCATGTCCAGAAATGCTCTTACCTGGAGATCAGCTCAGCACTTACCTCCTAACTAAACCCATGTGGGATCCAGGAACAAGACACCTTCCCTCTAACCCCTTACAAGGACCAAAATAGGAGTTTTATCCACACCTAACATGAAGGGGGTCACACTGCACTCCACACAGCAGCTGCTCCTCTGCACTGCTGGTGGTGCTGAGGGCACTGTGTCACAGCAGGCTTGAAATCACAGCACTCACTCAAGAGCTGGGAGACATAAAACGGCTGATTTTCTCAAGATGGGCCAATTCCTGTCCTCTGCCAGCTCAAAAAGAACAATATCCACTACAGCACAGCTGACAGAGATCTCTGAAAACAAGTGTTCACAATTATAATGAACACATATATCTTGCTTACATTTGTATTATACCATGTATAGTTACCTATAGCAATTCATACACATCAGTTAATGGAGATTTTATTCTGTTTACTGGAAGTGTGATGGTGTTTTTCAGCTCAAATACAACTCAAGAGATTTAATTTCCAGGTCAGTCTGTGTTAGGAATCAGTATGAAGCCAGAGGAAATTCTTGTGGTTGATACCTTTTTCTTATAAGCAACACAAAAACGAGACCTGCTGGAGACCTACATACCTAAAATATGCTTCATGTGAAAAGCAGCACTTGACTTCTATTATAAAGTATGGTTAAATGGATGATCAAACCCTGAGCAACTGGTTAATGATTTAAAGCAGGTAAATGTGAGCAATGAGAGAAGAATCAAGTTCAGTTGGTGAGTAAAGGTGCCAACCAATATAGACAGGCCCTTCAGCTCTATTACAGATGTCATGGCTACCAAGTACACAACAGCTGGTGGGGATTAGATAACAAGCACTCTGGTTCAGAGATTAAGCCCCTGAGCTTTATGAGTTTACCAAGCTTTTTGGAAGAGGGACTGTTTGCTTGCTAGCTGGGTTTTCCTTCATTCCCACAACTCTAATTATAAACAGTTGTTCACCTCAAGAGAAACTCTAATCCGTGCTTCCATTGGTGTGTGCACATACCTTCTGTTAGCACTGACAGGAATCCAACGTGTGCATTACAGGAGAAGCCCTGCCGTTGTTTAAATGCAATATAATGTTGAAATGGAAATAAAGACAGCAAGTTCTTAGTGTGAACTGAAATATTAAAGCCATTGCTTCCAAATATGAGTGTATATCAAATTCATTCCACCTGCTGAGAGACAGAGGAACAACTCTGATAGGACTATGATACAATACACAGCTGCAACATGGGCTGTTGTATGGTAAGATAATTTAAGGTATTAAATGTGCAAGGTCAGCTCAATCTTTCAGGTAGGTTTATTTCTACCTGTAAGCAAGGTATTTGTGGGATTTGTTAGCAGACTGCTGAGCAATTTTCCATTTAACACAAAAGAACTGGAAAACTTTGTACCAAGGGTAATGTCTTCTGCATGTAACTTCATATTGTTTCTCTAGTCTCAACCTTCCCCTGCCCCAAATCATAAGTTGGTGCTATCATCATCCATTCTCCCTTTGTGTGTCCACTTTGGAGAAGTGTGGGTGTCCAGCTGCTGGAGATGCCAAAAAAACCCCGAATTAAGTCTCTCCTTGCATTAATTTAGACTATTAGTCCTGTGATACTGCATTCTAACACGTAATCCCACCAAAAATCTTCCTAGCTCTTTCCTCTTGCCATCATTTTGCAAATTATAGAACCTGATTGCTTTGGAGCACTTATGAGAGGGTTTCAAATAGCTGAGGAAAATTACACCCTAGAGAATCATCCTCATACAGATGGGATCCATCAGAACTGAATGACCTCTTCTCAAGGATGAGCTCTGTTACCATTAACAGAGCCTACCTCACAGACATGCACATGATCTTTAGCAGAAAGTAAAAGAAGGAACTCAGTACCTAAAAATAAATTAATCAGAAAATAAAATCTGTATTTTCAATTTTCTAGGCTCAGGTAAAGCACATTCTCTAGAACATAATTTCATTAGTCTAAGACCCAAATTCAAAACCAGCCACAGGCTAAATTATTTTGAGTCAAGACATCGGTTAGTACCGCATACTCTGACTGGACAATGCTTACTAAGAGATTTTCTGCCTATATTTGAATTTAAAAATATTTTCATATGATTAAGTTGCACCTGTCCAAATAAATAAATCAATAAACAAATGAAACATTCCAACATCTCTTTTGTTTACAGTGGCAGAAACTCAAATGAGCCCCATTCATGCCCTATTGTCGAAGTCAAATGTAATTTGAACCCAACCGAATGGAGTTGAGTTTCTATTGTACCCAATGCTTGGTTCTTTCCTAACAGATTGGTAGGAAGGTTGCTAATTATTAATAGCATGTAAACAGTTACCAATGGTTCTTATGCTGCTTTACATACTTTACAGAACATTAATTCCAGCCAGTTTCTAACCAACTATATCAAGCTGCATGTAGTATCTCTATCTTATCTTTGGGACAAAAGTATTGCTGAACTGATCAAGATTCATGCTTTTAAAAGCCAAGTGGCTATGATTACTTCTTAATCTGTTCCACTCTATATATCCTGGTCTTTGACAAAGCTCTGCTATCACCACAGTTACAGACAGCTGAAATATTAAAGGTATCGGTGGTCAACATCATTCCTGAAAAAGAGAAACACAAAGGCTCTCTCAAACCCTTAACATTTTTCATTTTAATAAGCATATGTAATTGCATTATTACAAGTAGTTCATTCTCCAATGTCTAATAAGGTACAATCACACTATCTCTCAATGCAGTGAGAACTGATTGTAACTGAGATCTAAACACTGATAACAGGCAGGAGAAAGAATTCTTTTATGACATTTGAGAAAAAATTTAAAAATTTATTCTTCAAACAGGAAATGTGTCCTGTGATGTTTATAAAGAAATATTTTACACTAGTTTTAATCTGTTCAGAATAGCAGTTCTGATACTGCAACAACCTTGTGTAACACATAATCGATTTGGTAAATCTTTAATCACAAAGTAATCACACTCTAGTTCTGTGCTCGGTGATCAGGTTCTGTGATGTTGCAACAGTCAACTAGTACATATAGTATGTGTAAATTAATAAAGCTGTATTCCAGGAGAGGCAGCATGTGAGACAACCTCGTTTCACATTACACAGAAGACAGATCACTTACATAAGTACTAATTGCATAAGAAAGCCATACCAGGTCAGACGAGATGTCCATCTTGCCTGGCAACCTGTCTCTAAAATTTAAGAACAGAGAAAGCACACAGCAATGCTTCCCCAGAACACTCTTCCAAGTCTGGCAAAGGCATCAAAGGCTGGCAAAAAACACTGCCTCAAAAAGGCCCCCAAACTAAACACAGTCCTCCCTCAACTCTAGAAAGCAAGCACAAACAGCCATTTCAGTACTACCTGAGTGTGCAAAGTATGTCACAAGACCATATTGTCTGTAAGACTGACTTGGTAATGGCATTGGTAACTTAATCAGAATGAAGAGCAGCTCGCTCCCAGCTTGACAGCCTGCACAAGGACACTCACTGCCTTCTGGTTCAAGTGACTGCAGGACAACCAGGCACTGCCAAGTGCTCTCCACTAGACAAATGTTGACAGTGGCTGCAAGTTTAGCAGATGTGACTCCTTCCTGTGCAGACCTGTTTATATCACCCATCCTTGATCTTCACATTCTCTGTCCTGCTACCATCCTTGAAGTAATTTTCTTCAGACTCTTCCTGCACCAGCTCAGTGCCATAATAACAGGCAGGAGTCTCTTCACACTATCTGTAATGGATAAGTTGGACTTGTCTGCAGCCTATCAAAATACCACTCTTTTTACCATATGCCCTCTAGCTAAAATGCCTTAAGAATCACTGTGCCAGGGATATTGCTGTCCTTTGCTTTTGTCCACCACCTGAGGCGATAAAGTATCTGAACAGCAAGGTCAAATCACTGCCAGAATGCCTAAAGGATAACTCTTGCTTGCTAGAGGAACTCACCTAAGACTTAGCTCAGGCAGGCCAGTAAAGATGAGACAAAGGACTTGCTATGCTAATGATGCAGAAAGAAACATTCACTTGTACTGACTGTAGGGTGATACTGGGTATGCTCCACATGTGACAGAACCTGGACATGCTCTGACACAAGTCACTGGAAGTTTCTACTCTTCACTTGGGGCAGCTTCAATGCCTTCCTCCTCCTTTTCCCTGAGGGCAGTGCCCATGCACAGTCTGCCACCTGAGAAGAACCGGCTCTTGAACCAGCTCTTACATGAGGTAATGTGTCAGCACAGGTACCAGTGCTCATCACTGTTAGCCTGGGCTTTCAAAATACCTCCAACCCAAACAAACCAATTCCCTCAGTCTTGCTGTGGTGTACAGCTCTCCAGAGACTCACAATTTCTCTGCAGATAGAGCTTTTTCAAATGGAAATGTACTTGAAATGAGGTCTGGACAGACAACACACAAGTGAAGGAGAAATGATCTTTACCCCAAACCTACTTAAAGCTTCTCCTATATTATTTGCCCTACACAAGTATCTAAAAATTTTAAAAGTGACCAAATTAAAGGCACTGCCTTATGTCACCTCCCACATTTATCCACAGACTTCTGCTTGGGCAGAGAAACTCTAAGTGGCCAAGAACTGTAAAGT